GGCTCTGCGGAAGCGCATGCGGGCGTTCCGGAGTATCGCTAGCGTGCCGTGACAGTGACACCTGCAGCTTGCCGTGACACTGACGCCCGCAGCGTGCCGTGACACTGACACCCACCGGGCACTGGCCCTGGCCATGACTGGTCCGCGGGCTGGAGGATGACCCGGCCGCGCGTCTCCCTCAGGTGGTGCAGGAGTACGAGAGGGCGGTCATATTCCGCCTCGGGCGCCTCGTCTCAGGCGGCGCCAAGGGTCCAGGTGAGTGGCTGGTGCTGACGTCGGTGACGGCACCGCTGGGTGGGCAGCCCCTGGTGATTGGTGCTGAGAATGGTGCCGCTGCCGGTATTCCATGACACGGCGAACCTCTTTTGCATAGCTGGTAACTACCCAGCGAGTACCCAGGGTCCTGATATGAGAGGTGGAGAGCCTTTATTTACCCCTGTGAATACCAGGTCGGGCAGTGCCACTGGGAGAGCCCTCTTGTTGTAGGTCTTTTGTTATGAGCCTTCTATTACGAGCTCGCCACGCCAGTGACCAGGCTAAGTGGTGGCTGGGGGCCATTGTCGGGGCAGTAATAAGGCTGAGTACCCGCTGAGCGACGGCTGGAAGTGGCGTTTCCACAGCGGTAATGGCAATGACCAAGATGCCATTTGGTGCTCACTGTAGAGTCAGCAGCCCCGTGCCACAGACGGCAGCCGCCGCAGCCACGGCTGCATACTGTCGCTGCCGTGGGTCAGCGGTTATGTTGTGCCGCTATCGTGCGTCAACAACAGTGTACGGTCGCTGCCGTGGGTCGGCGGCTATGTTGTCCCGTTATCGTGCGTGCGTCAACAACAGTGTACGGTCGCTGCCGTGAGTCAGCGGTTGTGCACTGCCTCTGCTCTGGATCAGCGGCTGTATGCCGTGGCTGCCGTGGGTCAGCGGCTGTATACTGTCGCTGTCGTGGGTCAACAGCTGTGTTTTATCGCTGTCGTGGGTCTGCGGCTGTGTGCTGCCGCTGCCGTGGGTCAGCGGCTGTGTACTGTCGCTGCCATGGATCAGCTGCTGTGTGCTGTCGCTGCCGTGGGTCAGCGGTTGGCATTTGGAGACATCGCTCCTGATGCTGATCAAGCAGAGCTGGGGTGTTCGCGACTCGTTGTCACCGCGTAGTGCCGCCGCCAGCCAGTCGGTGGTCCACCTCTGACCCCACGCGGGGTCATGGGTCAACCACCACGCTAGTCGTGTCATACGTGTTTTAACGCATGAGCTGCGCCACTGCTGTGCAGAGGAAAAATGTCAGAGCAGAGTCTGTTTTCGTGTCATCAAATGATTGAAATTCTTTTCGATACGTCCGTAAAAATAGCGAGCTTAATCAGAGTCCGGGGAGCGGCGTTGAAAAATTTAAAATGCCCTGCTAAGAAACATGGCATTTTAATAGCAACATCGATAGCTTTGTCAAGGCGTCTACACGGATCCGGTACTTGACCATGTGCTCGAACTGATGCATGACACATATAGTTGCCAGTCACACGAATAAGTATTAAAACGTGATATACATTGCACGTGGGCGATTTAGGAATAAGAAATGAGTTGCAAAAAACATCATCACTTGAAGGGGCCGTTATTTGTATTTTCCATAACTGTGAGTTATCGCTACTTGACGACTGCAAAGCCCTCGGCTAACGACAGGCATAAGCATGAAATGTAAGATTTTTACAGAACACATGAGAGTCTCTGAAAGCCGACTTATCGTAATGTATCTATGGCATGAGTGCCCATGTTCCATCTTCCAGTCTTTGTATCACAAGAAAGGGTTATTCTAATCCCTTCGTTTTTGCACGCCTAGTGCAAATAAAAGTCTCAGTAATGACTCATATCAAGCGAGTTTAAAGCTCGATCGGATATTATCAATAACAATTTAAAGTGAAATTCCTCCATATTCCGATTCTGGTAAGACAATAAAATTTTAAAAAATGGATGAGGTTATAAATGGGGCTGAAAATGAATTATTCCCAACCCTCATGCTATCCATAATGGAAGTTCGAGAGGCCACATAGCTCTTATTTTAGTTCCTGTGTCGGTATCTCTCGCCTTATACTGAATATCTTCTTATAATCTTTATAAACGCTTCTGTGTTCCGTATCGCAGGCTGTGTTCCAATGGTGCTGAACACGGCTTGCAATGCACCAGGGGATAGGTATTGGCTAAGAGGATGCATCCAGGATCATTGGCATGTGGTATGAAGATATGTAACGTTTCCAGCAATGCTGATAGTAAGAGGCCAGCATTACTCATGGTTTTGGCTCTTGGACGTATTAACACATCCCATCTAATATTTCAGGCATTTTCTTCATCCTGCCATGCATTGAAAACTACACCAAGATCGATCTGCGCACATCGGTGTTCGACGTACCTCCGCAGGAGGTGAGGCTGGGTGCGCGGCGTCGGCGTCCGGCGCATCATCGTGCGACAGACCGCCATCGCTGGCGTCCGGTCGCACCACCATCGTGCGACAGGCCGCCATCGCTGGCGTCCGTCCGCACCATCATGCGACCGACCGCCATCGTTGGCGTCCGGTCGCACCATCGTGTGACGGACTGCCGTCGCTGGCGTACGGTCGCACCATCGTGCGACAGACCGCCATCGCTGGCGTTTGGTCGCACCATCGTGCGACAGACCGCCATCGCTGGCGTACGGCCGCACCATCGTGCGACAGACCGCCATCGCTGGCGTCGTCCGCACCATCGTGCGACGGACCGCCATCGCCGGTCAGGCTTGCCATCGCCGGTAATCACTGCTGATGCCGGAACGGTGACAGGTGCCAGACTAAATGCAGGTGATGAATCGTCAGTCAGGTGATCTCGAATCTTGATGAAAAATTAGCATTCGCCTTTTCCATTCTGTGATGAACCACTTTCGTCCGAAGGAAAATGATTCACATCACGTTGGTGACACTTCTCGTATGAAAATTAAGAGAAAGTTTACTTTAGACCCATAGACCCGAGCGCCGCGACTTCCATGTATTGAAATACACCTTGTAGTGCATACCGTGTGCGGCGCGCGTGCTGATGGCTAAGGGTTAGATAATTATCAAATCACTCTCACGTTTACCTGTCGCCAACAGTGTCATGTGCCCACCAGACAAAAAAAATGTGTTGTCCATATTGCCACCATTGGGTAGGAAGTGTATGTGAACAAACACCGTGCGGTTTTTTCGCGCATCTTGCAAATGCACAACGCAATTTCGTCTCTATCGGTGGCCGTTTATATGGGGATATTCTAGGGGCATTTCACAAGCCACGCGCATGTTTGCCTTTGGTGGCCAATGGCTTTTAACAAAACAATCGAATGGTGCATAACCATAAGTTTCGACTACCACGGAGCCAATAATTTCTAAATTTTGATTGTTTTTGTTCCTTTTATATGTTGCCCTCGTGGCCTGCGCATACTTATCCGTTATCTTGTCCGTATGTCCTCACTCGCCAGAAAGGCGCAGCAAATAACACCATGGGCTGTTATTCATGTAGAAAGTGGAGATATTCCATTTTAATCTCGGGCAGAAGATTGCCTTCCAGGTCGCGACGGAAAGCCATTTCCAACATCCAACCGTAGTCTTCGTTTAGAAAAATGAACCGCCTCGATTTGGAAAGCAATCTGATCCAGCCCTAGATGAGATATACATCATACCACTCTCGTAAGTGCAGAATATTCACGGAATGGGTGTTGAAATAGTGATTGATGGGGTCAAGTTGCGGATTCACCCGCTGAATTCTCGTAAAAATAAATCTAGTGTGGATTCATCACCTCACTGTAGATACAATTCAACGCCGTTTGTGCCTGCTTCCATCGTGACTTTTCATAGCTCTGGCACATCTATCACAAATTCGATAACGGTAATCTCATTGATTAATGTACTTAGTAGAGCAATCCATCTTCCTGGACTGACAAAGTTAGTCCATTCGCATGGGTGTACCTGAATGGTGTTCCTTCAACTTTATAGCAGTGCGCTGAATAACCAAGCAGTTGTGGCGCCCTAAACCCAAATCAACAACTACGTTATCGCAGGCCATCAACGACGAAGGCTTATGCGAGTGCACCGCCATTATAGACCATTCAGTTCATCTACAGAATGTCGGCATGCTTGAATAACATACCTTATAACAAGCGAACCAATTTCTGTTGGTATATCGCCAAGAGATATCACATGCTAACACTTCTGACCTCGCCGATACAAACAACGCCATGTCCATTGTAGTTTAACTAGCAGTTTTGTATATTTGTTTTGCTCAGACAGGCCTTAAGCCACATCCAATGCGTTTTTTTTTTTGTATTTCTTAGACCGGGAGGCCAGACAACAGGCTACGTCTTCTTAGCTTGTACAATTCAGCGCAAAGCAAGGGTAAGCTACGACACGTTAATTTGGTGACACGTTAATTTGGCGAATGATGTGTTAATCCGGCGAAAGATGTCCGGTAACAATGCAAGCAATAGAACCGATAGCAAAATTGCGACCATCTGGCTCATTTCATCCAACAGCAAATAAAAAGTAAAACATGAGAAACACATTTTTCATGTGTAGAGGGCGTACCAAGACGACCGGATGCTAGGACCACGGCATCGCAGCAGAAACTTCCCCGGGCCGCTCCCAGCAGCAAAAGGCGGGGAGCCGCCCGGCACGACTTTGGCCGTGTTAGACAAGCAATCTGTCTAGACAAGAATTGTTCGTACTCATTTGTAGCAAACCACTACGCATTTCTCAATTCGTGGCTGGAGAAACGTTTGGCAAATGAGGAGAACAAGCACAAACACGTTTTGCACATGTGTGGTTGGGCAAATCTCTCGGCAGTGATGAAAACCTGCACGTTGGCAATTGCGCAGGATTCCATTTTGTTATATTTCAGTATTTAACTGTAACTATCTAAATGCGTCTCGCGTATAAGAGCAAGGAAGTGCATCAGAATGTCAAGACGCGAAACGCTGATGGCTGAGGCGAGTGTGAATGGGAGCATGTCTGTGTGTTTGTGCAAGTACTCGGTGTCGCTGGACCCATGCCCCACTGTGCGCCGAGCCCCGCACGCCTGGCGCGGACTACAGCTCTGACGCGGCCCGTCTGGCGCGCGGCAGGTGCTGACCAAGGACAGCGTCACTGTGTCCGTGGACGCCGTGGTCTTCTACCGAGGGTCAGCAACGCCACCATCAGCGTGGCTAACGTGGAGAACGCCCACCATTCGACCCGGCTCCTGTCCCAGACCACCTTGCGCAACATGCTCGGCACCAAGAACCTGAATGAGATCCTCAGCGACAGGTGAACGGGATGGGCTCGGCAGGCGGGGGGAGGGGATAGATGTGAGGGGCCAGCGTGACAGACTCGGCAGGCGGGGAGAGCGGGATAGGTGTTGGTATCTCAATAAGCAGGATAAAGGTGAGAGCTCAGTGGATCAGGAGCTAAGCCGAGCAGAACAGATGTGGTGCAGTAACCAGCCAGTTAAAGCCGGCTGGTAAGCCGCCCATGACCGGCCAGAGGCCGTTGGGTTGTTTTTGACGAGTTACTGGGTCGAGCGAAGCAAGAGAAAGTCAGATTCTGCCCACAAGGGAATCCAAGAGCGTTTGGTGGGTAACATATCATCAGGACGGAGAGTTCAGATGCACGATGTCACCACACTATTGCAAATCACCAATCAGCGCCGTCTCACCATACGGCCCTGCTCTGTCTGTGCGCCGGATCGAGACGCCGCTCGATGTTCACTCTGATGTCCTTTTCTGGCAGGGATGGAATATCAGCGACGATGCAAAACTCCCTAGACAGCGCCACAGACAGCTGGGGCATCAAGGTGGAGCGCGTCGAAGTGTGAGTGATCACATGTCGACAGCTGTACCACCTTCGCGGTTAGCTCACGCACGACATGCACCCTAAGCGTGTGCGTGGAAGCTCGCGGAGGAAGTGTTCCACATCGCTGGATGACGGCTCAGCCTTCGGCCGCCCACAGCCCAGCCCTGCTCCAGATGCTGGGAAAATACATGCATGGTCTGGGAGACACTGTATTCGCGTATTATGGCCGCCGAGAGAGCAGTTCAGGGCCGTTCCGATGTTAACAGGAGACACGTGCCGCGTCTCCTGCCGTGTGGGCGTGCTATCATGGACAGGAAGGAGGCGACATGCCTCGGCCGCTGACGTGCTTCGTCTCGGCCGCCGACGTGTATCGCCTCGGCCGCCGACGTGTGTCGCCTCGGCCGCCGACGTGTGTCGCCTCGGACGCTGACGTGTTCCGTCTCGGCTGCTGACGTGTTCCGTCTCGGCCGCCGACGTGTTCCGCCTTGGCCGCTGACGTGTGTCGCCTCGGACGCTGACGTGTATCGCCTCGGCCGCCGACGTGTATCGCCTCGGCCGCCGACGTGTGTCGCCTCGGCCGCCGACGTGTGTCGTCTCGGCCGCCGACGTGTATCGCCTCGGCCGCCGACGTGTGTCGCCTCGGCCGCCGACGTGTGTCGCCTCGGCCGCCGACGTGTGTCGCCTCGGCCGCCGACGTGTGTTGCCTCGGCCGCCGACGTGTATCGCCTCGGCCGCCGATGTGTGTCGCCTCGGACGCTGACGTGTTCCGTCTCGGCTGCTGACGTGTTCCGTCTCGGCCGCCGACGTGTTCCGCCTTGGCCGCTGACGTGTGTTGCCTCGGCCGCCGACGTGTGTCGCCTCGGACGCTGACGTGTTTCGCCTCGGACGCTGACGTGTTCCGCCTCGGCTGCTGACGTGTGTCGCCTCAGCCGCTGACGTGTGTCGCCTCAGCCGTTAACTTGCGGACGTGTCCCGCTGGCAGGAAGGACGTGCGCCTGCCGGTGCAGCTGCAGCGCGCCATGGCCGCTGAGGCCGAGGCGACCCGCGAGGCGCGCGCCAAGATCATCGCCGCCGAGGGCGAGAGCAAGTCATCGCGTGCCCTCAAGGAGGCGGCCGACGTCATGAAGGACTCGCCTTCAGCGCTGCAGCTGCGGTACCTGCAGGTCAGTGGCCTCTGCCGGCACACCAGCATACAGACTTTGTCGTTGGTTGCTAGTCGACGTGGCGCATATAAGTGTGTCAGACCCGCTGCCGCCGGCCTGACGTGTTTCTGTGGAGATCGGTAAAGGCCTTATTGGTTTGCCCTTTTGCACTAAAAAGCCAGTAAGCGAGAACGCCGCTTTTGAGCCTGATTTTGCTGCCGTGCCATACCAGCAATGTAGGCGCCTCGCTCCATGAAGCGAGGCGCCTGATGATTTGGACACCACAGATGCAAATAATGACGTCTGAATCGCCCCTGACCCCTTGACTGAGTCGTACCTCCAAAGCCCTTCCACTCGAGGGAAGCCCTGACACGCCGCGCCCACCCCGCAGACTCTGAACTCGATATCGGCTGAGAAGAACTCGACCATCATCTTCCCGCTGCCGATCGACTTCATGTCGCAATTCGTCAATAAATAGGACCGGGCGGCGCGGCGGCCGCGGCCGAGGCCGGTCGACCGCCGCAGCTTGGTCGCTCGCGAGCGGCAGTGAGCGCCCGGCGGCCGGAGCCAGCCGCAGCGCTGCCGAGGTCCGCCGCGGCCTCCCCGCCCGCTGGCCGGCGCATCTGTGATAAGGGCCGTCGCGCCCGATGTCGTCCGATGGCGCTCCGACCCCCACCCCGCCGCCGGCCGACGCCCCGTGGCAGTGCAGCGCCGGGCCGTCCGTGTCACCGCACCGGCCCTCCGGCCCGCACCGTCAGTGTACATTGTTGTATCATCGCTGTCCGGTGTAAAGAATCTCACAAGCCTGGGAGCTTTGCCATCCATGGGTTTAACCTAGTCCAGGCGACACCAGGAGCTGGGGAGTGTCCACTATCTTCACGCGGGGGGTTGGTGCTGTACTAGTCACTGAGAAGCTGCGATGCCATCAGAGAACGCGCGTTATGCCTTCAAGTTTGTCGCGGGCCGGAAGTTTATGGCCACGTACTCTGTTTCTTCCGGATATCGGACTCTTCGGCGGCACCCAGGGCTGCTCATAGGCGTCAGCAGTCCCCGATGCCACCCCTTCTGGAGGAAGGAGAGTGGAGAGTACGGGACGCACTGTAAGCTTAATGTGCGATGACCGGTGTCTGACCGCTTGCTGCGTCTGGCGGGACAGTGAGTCAATCACTTACCTCCGATTGACCTGTCAAGAGATTTCCCGAGCCTGAACAGCAAGTCAAGGCATTGACTCGCGCCACGAAGTCGCGTGCGCACCGTCCTACGCTGAGTCCAGCCAGTTTCCGCCGTGGTGGACTCCTGAGCCTTCCTCAGGAGGACGCGTCAGTCCTCATGACACAGCTCCGGGCCAATCAGGCGTCCGATGCGCTCAGGGCTCGAGAGGCGCGACGCCTGTGTGAACGGCATCTTTCTGAAGCCTCTGACTGCAGAGGCGACCCTCGGCCGCCCAGTGTCTGGCCCGCCGCTGGAGCGTGGCGTCGGCCCCTCCGAAGTGTCTAACTGCAGAGGTGACCCTCGGCCGCCCAGTGTCTGGCCCGCCGCTGGAGCGTGGCGTTGGCCCCTCCGAAGTGTCTGACTGCAGAGGCGACCCTCGGCCGCCCAGTGTCGGGCCCGCCGCTGGAGCGTGGCGTCGGCCCGTCTCGCTCGCGCTGGGCGGCCAGACGCCGTCCGCGCTTAGCAATCACCGACCACTGTCATCGGCAGCTCGACACAATCAGCGATGGGAGGCTTTGCCGGCCAGCTTCCCCGGCCAGTCGGAGAGATCGCGGTGTTCTCGATGGCGCCTGCGGCGGAGCAGTGTTTCGCTTCTGGTAATGGCAGGCTGCGTTGTGAAAGTTCGAACCGCACAGCTGCACAGGGTCATTTCTCTGCGGACCTTGCGGTGTTGTGCACACCTCGGCCTCGATAGGCTAGCGCGAATCTCTGACAGCAATTCACGAGCAAAACGCACTTGTTCTGCTTCTCAGCAGGGCATCCAGAAAGAGCCCAGGGGGCTTGTGTTGTCTGCCAATAGCGTACAACACATCGAATCGCGCGCCAACGGCGCATATTTGCAGCCCCGACCCAAGTGACAAGCATGGCGGACGACACTCGTCCGTAAAACCAAAGGCGCACACACACCGTGGTCAATGGCGCGTGGCGAATTGACCACAACTTCGATCTCTTCGTCGGTACTTATCGGATACGCATTAGTTGTCGCAGAACAGTTGGCGGCCATGAGCCGACCTTCTTCATCGACACACGTGGGCGATCAATGTCCTCCTGGATAAACCGCGGGCCATTAGGCTGGCTTGTTTGTCCACGCATGAGACATGCATATACACCAAGCAAGCGCACGCGATCAATGTCAATGTCACATTAGCGTTTCGACTGTGGCTAATAACAATCGCCCGAATGTACTGCATTTATTTCCGCATATTTAAGTAAAACGCCGTCTGTCCTCCGCTAGAGCCAGGTCACATGGTAAGCGGGGCAATATAAAAAAATGTCATGGGTGTGAGCCGAAACCCGTGCGTGTAGCTCGGGGGAGCGTCGTAGGATTATCGATCCGGTATTTTTGGCACCAGTGCAATCTCACCGTTTTGCCGTTATCGTTGTTCGTGTACCGATGTACGTGGCAAATACAAGCGGCGCCGCAATGGTCATTGGTCGTCGTTTCTGTCGTCCCCGATTGAGCTGCGAGCAGCACTAATCTCGTGCAGACAAGAGGCATGACGGTACTAACACGACACGGGCGCGTCGAAGGTCAGGCATTGGACGGAGGTGGGCCAGCGCCGCTCTGCCAGTCACAGTCGCCCGCCGGCAGGCCGGCGCGATTATTTTGTCCCTGGCGGCGGTCCAAGCAGGATTGGGGCGCGCATTGGGCGTGCAATCGGCGGCGCGGTTGTCTGGCGCACCCAGCGACCACCGGCCTCTGAGGCCGCGGCCCGCTCGGTCCTCTGGCGACCGGTGTCCACACCTTCCGACCCGCTCTGGTCTGAGGTGGCCAATCACGTCACACCTGTCGGCCCGCTCTGACCTTAGGTGGTCGATCATGTTACACCTGCCGGCCCGCTCTGGCCAGATGAGGTAGTCGCCCCCCCCCCCCCCCCCCCTCCCCAGCCCGCTCTTGCCTAATAAGTCGATCCCCTCCCCCAAACACACATACCGTGACCCCACGGCCACTGAGAGCCGCACGCCACTGTCACGCGAGGGGACGGCCTCCTCTCACTTGGCCCGGCCCCCGTGACATGAGTCGGCCGAGCCCTCATGTCTGGTCGCCAGCTGTGGCCGGCATCCCTACCCATCCCGGCCCGCTGTGGCCGGCACCCCCACCCCCTCCCGACAGCTGTGGCAGGCACCTCCAGCCTTTCCCAGCCCAACCTCCCGCCCCGCCCCCCCTTGTGATTGGCAGCCTCACACCTTTCGATACGCTGTGGCCAGCACCTCCACCCCTCCCGGCCTACTGTGACCGGCATCTCAACCCCTCCCGACCGCTGTCGCCGGCAACTCCAGCCCTTCCAGCACCACCTCCCCGCCCCCCTGTGATTGGCAGCCAACATCTTTCGATCCGCTGTGGCCAGACCTCCACCCCTCCCGGCCCCCTGTGGATCAGCACCCTCCAGCCCTCCCCGCCCCCCTGCGGTCAGCAACCTTCACCCTCCCGCCCGCTGTGACCGTGCACCCCCTCCCCCCGTCCCTTGTGATCAGCACCTCACCCCTCCCGGCCCCCCGGCTGTGACTGGAAGCAGACGGCTCTAACTAAGCCAGCTCAGCACCGGCTAACGATGCTGTCGAGGGACTGGACGTCGGACAATCCCGTCAGTATCGCGGCACTCGTTTGTCCCACCCCCTGGTGCGATGGTGACGGTTCACGATACAGCCACGCGTTGCTGATCTCACGGTTTACCTACGGCTTCGCCTCACAAGCGCTCGATTTTTGACTGATCGTGCATTGTGCATGATCCGGCGTTGGCACAGCCATTACATCGTGGTACCATAGCAAGCCCACCACGTGACAGGACAACACGTACCACAGACATTGCAAAAACATTCAAAGGCAAAAAGGACATTCCACTGACGCATCTCTATCAGGCGCGCTCAACCTGCATGGCATTTATTAACCCCATGGGCTATGGAGAAAGGCTGTCACCTGTCGCGATGCTAGCGTCGGACCGCTCTGAAGTTGAGGACCTCTAGCCTCATCTTCAATCCTCTCCACTTACGTCCGCGGACTCGTGGAAACACGTCAGCAGGTATGAGGCGCCAAACTATCTCTGTCAAAAGGCTCACATATTTGTATATGATGACGTATCTGGGAGTGCATGTGAAACGGACTTCACCTGTCATTGAACTACTGAAGCTTCCATACATGGAAATGACACCATGGCGTGCGGTGGGCGCAGTGTTCCAGTGGTGGCTCTCGAAAGCAAACGAAACCAAGCTCAATCATAGAGAATCTTTGTTGTCTTGCATGTTAAATATATGACACAATACAAAACCATGCGGTCAGAACAATGCAAAACTGAGTGCAATGAGGACTAATACGCCCGTGACACGAATATACACTCCTCTTTGTTGCGCAAGTAATGTTGCATAACGCCAGGCATCCGTGCAGGCGCCCGCACAACTGGTGTCTAGCACATTCCAGGGCGAAGTTTGGTACCCAGCCTGAAGTTTCTGTTTCCCTGTATTCCGCGTGACCTACAAAACACGGGCGTGCCGTGTGGCGCCGAGAGCTCATGTGAGCGCGTCACATCCCGTGCGTCACGCAGCTGTCAGTGCCGCCGAGCGGCGGTGGCCACTCCCACACAGCTAGTCGACAGACGGCCACGGCAGCCGCTGACAGAAGATGAGGGCTCTGGGACGGACCGACTCCCGGTCACGGTCGCGGCCAGCACTGACGGTCGTGTCGCCCAGTGGCCGCCCACCACCCCCGCCAAGCGCGCCACCCACCGCCTCGCAACACGTCCCACAGTCCTAAACCCCAGCCCGGCCGCCTCGCGACACTGTCTGCGGCCGGACCAACACGTCCGGCGCCTTCGCAAACACGTCCGGCCGCCTCAGAACACGTCGAGCCGCTTGCTGCCGGTGGCGCTGCCGCTTCTCGGCCTGGATGCTGCGCTCGGTGGAACGCAGACCCGCCAGCCGCTGGCGCTGGCCGTCCAGCCGCGCACGCAGGTCAGCGCCCAGCGCGCCGCCAGCGTTACGTCGCCAGCCGGCCTCGAGGCGCGCGATGTGTCGCTCCCACGCTCCCCGATCTGCTCGCCGACGCGCAGGTCACGCAGGTTGAGCTCGGCTCGAGAGGCGGAACGTACCGGGCCGTCCTCCGCCGCCGGCTCCGATCCTGCCACACGCGCCGCCAGTCAGCGGATGTCACCACAGACGTACGCTCCGGTCACTTTACACCTGCGTCAGTGTCAGCGGTTATCATCCATTGCGTGCTGGTGGGACCGGAATCAAACTGCATGATCCATTGTGTGCGGAATTAAACTGCATGAAGCTTGCATACATCCAGTGCATTCCTGGCAATTGTCAGCCGTTGGTACCGCGGGGAGA